GTTGAATAGTTTTAGGTTAAAATAACATTTGGTCGGTTTATTTGAAACTCATTTCATGGTTTATTTGAAACTCATTTCATGTTAGTTTATATATTTTTCAAATGACTAAACCTTACAAGAAAATGTTTAATATGTAACGACTCATATCTAAGATTTGGATCATATTCCGAATTTGGATTATGTACCTGATGGCTCTGGGATTCTCATGCATCCTCACAAACCAACCCAAGTTCTTTTGGTATGTTTTGTTCTCATTCACAAGTATTCTAGTAAAATTCATAAGAAGTCACATGTACTCTAAATAAAACACGTTTCGTTATGAAGTTCTTATGATTAAGGTACTTGAAAGGAAGATCCACTTTGCTAGTATAGGTAGTAACTTTGGTTTCCTTTAAGTATTTTTTTAGTCATCTTATTCTCATGATCGCCCTCATTTGGATGTGATCTCAGTTCATTCATGTACCTCTCATTTGCTCGGATGTCACATAATAGATCTCTGAATATTCAATTGTATGTCCATAAATATCTAGATTTTAAAAAAGGTTCAATAAAAAAATTAATCAATACATTATAAAATTGAATTTTGTGTCTAATAAAAAAATTATTTCTACATCTTATAAATTTGACAAAAGGAAGAGTAAAATCACAAAAACATTTTTTTTCCCTTATTTAATATTTTGATAGACTAATGTTGATTATGTGTTAAGCTAGTTTTTAGCAATCCACCTAGGATAGGTTTTAATGGTGTGATTATACTTGAGATTAATAATTTTAATTTGATAAAATTAAAATATAAGATTAAACTTCATCTACAAACTACAAATTAAAAGTGATTTTTTTTCTTCTTTATGTTAAAAGAAAGTTATTGGGTTTCATTTGCATCTGTAAATGAAGAGAATATTCCAATTTGAGCATAAAAGCATCTCTCATTAAGAATATTCCATTTCAAGGGATCTGTGGATGAAGAGAAAAAATTTATGCTTATTTTGATTTATAACTAATTAACCTACCTATTAATTAACATAAATTATTTAAAAAGCAATCTTTGAGAAAAGGTCAAATTTATTTATCTACCCATAATAAATTATCCTTTGAAAATGAACGATTCAGATTTAAATCTTGATATTCAATTAACGTGGATTATGGGCTAATTTTGAATTCAAAATAACTTTTTGTTTTTAAAGAGACGTGAGTTAATGAAATTGTTATTTGAGAATATAATTTTATTGTCGTACAAGTGAAAAAATTATAAAATTAGAATAAAGTTTTTGATTAGCATCATAATCAAAGCTTTAACTAAGTTTACTTTTTTAATTTATAAATTAAAAAAGTCTTAAATGTATAACTGGCCGTTCGAGTTCGTGAGCAGCATTTTTGCGCGTGGGAGTGAACGTGAGATGACTCATCCCCCCATTTCCACTTTTTCCTATTATTTAATTTCTGACCAACCAACTCTTTTTTTTTCTTTTTTTTTTTTAATATTGGAAAAGAAATTAATTGTTTTTTCATAATTTTCCTTATATAAAAATATAACCTAATTTGTTATGATATAATCAACAAATATAATAAATTAAAACAATTATTTTCTTTAAGATAATTCTGAAGGAAACTCTGGAAATAAATAAAAATTAATAAAAAAAATTGGGAAACAAATCTTTATAATTATAATTATAACTATTATACTTATTTATAATTTTTTTTTTCTTTTTTATGATGCAACAGAGCAGCTTCGCTCATTTCCTGATTATTTTATTTACAATGGGCGTTTTGGTTTCTATAAAATCCGCTCCCATTTCTTCCCAAAACCTCTCCTCCTCCATTTCCTCTCTTTAATCTCTCTGTTTCTCCTCTGTTTTTTTCCCCAGATTTTCCCGAGAAAACTTGCTGGTGTTTTTTAATGTTTCCATTCTTGTTCTTTCATGCTTTGTATTCATGTCTCCTGTAGTCAGTGAGATCCTTCTCTCTGGTTACATTATCAACTCCACTCTCCGCCGCCGCACCCATCTCGTTCAGTCTTTCTCTGTTGTATTCCTCTACTGGTTCTACGTCTTCTCATGAACTAGCCTCCCATTTCCCTTTTTCAATCTCCTAAATTTTCCATTAATCGATCGAAATTACCATCTGGGTTCTTTAATTCGTGCCATTTCAAGCAAGACCCATATCGAATTTTATCCCCTTTTTCCAAAAGAAGAGACTACCTACCTTCTCTGTTTAAGACACGACTGGATTCAATGGCGTCTCCGGTAGGAAGTTCATCAGGATCTCCGAGCTCCGACGAAGATCTGCGACTAATTGTAGATCAGAGGAAGAGGAAGAGAATGATATCGAATCGAGAATCGGCTCGCCGATCTAGGATGCGAAAACAGAAGCAGCTCGACGATCTGACGGCTCAGGTGGGTCAAATCAAAACAGAGAATGAGCAAATCGCCGTCAACATCAATTTCACCACCCAACTTTACCTGAATCTGGAGTCGGAGAACTCGGTGCTCCGGGCACAGATGGCGGAGCTCCACTACAGATTGGACTCGCTGAACGAAATCATAAATTTCATAAACTCGAGTACTAGAAACCCGTATGATCCCGAGCATTATGGTGAAGTTTCTGGCATTGATGGGTTGGTTGATTCTTGGGGATTCCCCGTTCTCAACCAGCCAATCATGGCCGCTGGTGACATGTTCATGTGCTGAATCAAAAAAATGGAAAAAAAGAAGAAAAAAAAAACGAACAATGTTATCGGTACTTGGGATTGTTTAATATGGATAATGTTCTACTTTGAAATGTAATGAATGTAGCTTCAATGATAATTATAAGTTTAATTGGAAAAATGGGAGGCCCCATCCATTGTTGTTTTACCCATCTGCTCAATTTCATAAGAAAAAAGTAATTAATTGAGATAACCTTTGAGAAAAAGATAAATTTTTAGAATGCTTTATAGCATTTTGGAACCAAAAGAGGGGCCTTTATAGCAGTTTGAAGGGTCCATTTTGTAGGAAAGGAGAAATAAAAGAGCTAAAAAAATGAACATTATTGAAGAGAGAGGAAAGAAAAGGATTTATTTGGTCATGAAATGATTGGTTGGCGTGTTCTTGGCTTTGGCTTTGCATGGAAATATATGAAATATATAAATATATGTTTCTGGAGAAAATAATGCAAAATTGACTGGAAGTATTAGGTAAGGAACAAACTGGAATAATTGGAGAGCCCAAGTGGAGGAACCGAACACAAAATATTATTCCAATTATCAATTATAACATTATTGAAACGATGATGATGCAACGCCAAAATTCTGATCATCTTACCCACTCTTTTTTCCTTCTTCCTCGTCCCAACATTAAATAAAACAAAGTTTAGCCCCAACATACAAAAAAAATTACGATGTTCTCTCTCTCTCTCTCTCTCATGATTTTGTTTTTGAATTCTACTCGATTGTCTTTTCATTTTTCCTCATTCTTGAGATCTACCAACGAGTCCGAATTGTATTTACATTTCACCAACCTCTGTCACACGAATAAAAATCAAATAAAAAAAATGAAAATATTGATATTTTAATTTAAGAAAGGGTGTTGAAAATATATATTCATTTTTAAGAAGTTAGGGTAGGAATATCAATCATTTTTATGCTTAATATAATAATATGCATATTCAAATAAATTATTATTACAAGTAGTTGAAGGATATTTTATTACTCATAGACAAAACAGAATAATGAGGTAAGAATTTCCAAAAAAGAAAAAAAAAGAGGAAGTTGGACGGTGAGGGGCGGTGGATCTGTGTAAAGTTAGGGGTCATAATTATTAATAAATTATTTTATGTGATTAATTTATTAATTAATTATTTTAGGCTCACGTAGTGAAGTGTGATTAATTTATTAAAATTACTACGTTGGAAAATTTGATTTTATACTCCAAATTTCAACCTACTACAAGCAGTCACCTCCCTTCCTGTTCTTACACGCATGGCTTGATGACTTCACACACACATCTTAGGTCCCCTTGGATTGGCTTCTTCTTTTTTTTTTAATTAAAATACTCTTCACTACCATTATTATACACTAATTTATTTACGTAAATTAGTAACTTTAAATTTATATTTAAAACTCTATAACGTGTCGTGTTTTAAACTATACTCATGTGTGAATGTATTCTAAATTATACTGGATTAATTGCACTACAGCGTTATAGGCAAGATGACCTCCCTTTTGGTTTTGAATCAGTTTTATTTTTTGTCAGTAAAATTGGTAGTGTGTTTCGAGACTCAATTATAAACTAGATTATTAGTGTTTTCGAGTTTAATTAGGTTTACATGTTAAATAATCCTATTTTAATTTAGGTAGGGTCAAAGATTAGATGACTTTGTGTTTTAGTTCTTAATTAGTTACATACTATTATCACGGTAGTTTGATTGGCTTCCCCTGTATTATCAAACACGTTCATTTAGTAAATATTTCACATTTTTATAAGAAATTATTGGTTTTCATGAATTCAAATTTTATTTTATTTTCTTTGGAGCATTTGTAATCTCCACACACGTCGGTGGTTGTACCCAATAACGTGGCTAAAAAACTCGACGTGTGAAGATCAAGGCCTTCCAAAACAAAAACTACCAGAACCAGTACACCGCACAATCTCGACCGACCATACGAGGAATTCATGGCAACTACTACCATGTTTGCTCTACTGCCACCACACTCTTAATTCTTATTTTATAGGTTTCAAAGATGAGTTTTTAAAAAAAATGTGGAAACTAGAAGGCAGCTTTGTAGTTCTAAATATCCAATCAGATCACTCCACCTGGCCAACTCGAATGCCAGCCAGCAACATCATCTCCATTGCCGACATAACCCTCACACCTGTCCTCCTCAACCCCTCCCCACGTGGCTTTCCTATACTACGTGTCAAATAAACACCTTCCCTCCATGGATTACATGCACGTGTTTCTCAAACTTTATCTACTAACTCCATCTCTATTTAAATCTCACGATCTTTACTTCAAAACAACATCCGCATTCTGAAACTTGCTGAATTATTTGTTCATCCATCCATCTCTGTTTTGTTTTTTGGGTTTTGAAAAATGTCGCATTTCCAATCTGGAACCGATCAGTATGGCAACCCCGTTCGCCAGACTGATGAATATGGCAACGTGATCCATGGGACCGGTCAGCGCGTCGACCCGCATCACCGGACCGGTGAGTTCCGTGAGACGGATCAGTATGGCAACCCGGTTCGACGGGGCGGGGAGTACGGTGACCCGATCGGCACTGGTGGGACGTATGAGACTGGTGGGCACGGTGGCGTGGGTTATGGCGGAGGACACCAGCAGCAGCATAAGGAGCATGGGGGAGTACTTCGTCGCTCTGGAAGCTCTAGTAGTTCCAGCTCGGTAAAATTTGATGTTATATGATTATTTTCGTACATCAGTGTAAAAGAGACGATTTTTGAGTTTATAATAATAATGAGGTTGAAATTTCAGTCGGAAGATGATGGGCATGGAGGGAGGAGGAAGAAGGGGCTGAAAGAGAAGATAAAGGAGAAGCTGCCGGGGCATCATGACACGGCGCAGCAGCCACACGCGACATCAACCACCACACCTGGCGGGTACTCTTCGGTGGAGCACGGCGGCCAACACGAGAAGAAGGGGATAATGGATAAGATCAAGGAGAAGTTGCCGGGACATAACTGAGAGGCGTCGCTCACCATATGTGGGTGTAGATATGATATTAATAAAGTGATAGATGTGCGTGTATTGGGAGTTGTGTAGTGTTAAGTGTTAAGTGTGGTTGTGTGTATTATTATGTCATTTATGGGTTTGATGTATGTATGTACGTCTCGTTTGTGCTCATCTCATCTAGCTTCTACTTGGGCTGTTTTACGTTTCAAATCTACCTTCTTTTCCAACCTATAATTTGTAAGTAATAAGGATGAACAATTCTAAGTAATAAGGATGTTAAGCATCATAAAATTTAATCAACAATTCTAAGTAATAAGGATGTTAAGCATCATAAAATTTAATCAAGCAATCCTAATTTACTACATTTGGAGCACTAGAATTAAGATAATCCAAGGCTTAGGGGAAATATCCCAATAAAGTTTTTAAGTAGACAAACGTTCCAAAAATGATTATTATTCCCAAATTAAGTTCTATATGAATGATTAGCCTATAAAAACCATGATTCCTAATTAGGAGGTAGGAGATAATGTTATGGATTAAATAATAATTAATAATAATAAATATATTTATTTTTGTATAAGAAAAGAGAGTGAGAATATTTAAAATATTTTTACGGACTAAAAACTAATAGAAGTTATTTCTTTTTTAAAAAGAAACTCACCCCAATGAACCCAATTTTGTAGCCCCAATTTCACCCTTCCCCGAACATTGTCACTGGAGCTCACCGCCAGCGACCATTCTCTTGAATCCCAGACCTGACGGTTTCCACACCGATTGGATTTTCGGACGAACGGAGCTTGCGGCAAGGGTCGCTGGATTTACCTGCTCTGTCTGGGTTGTGAGTAACAAAATCAGTATGTTCTGGACTGCAATAAGGTATTTCGCGACGAAGCCAAAGCCGAAGATGAAGCCGATAGAGTTGAAAACTCCACCGGAGCAAACGCAGACGATCACTAGAGTTATATTCGACATCGTTAGGGAGCATGGTCCGCTAACCATAGCCGAAACTTGGGATCGCGTTCAGGTAAGCATCGTATTCCTGTTTCTGTTTCGTCATTTTCATGTTTTGCTTCAATTTTATTTCGATTTCTCCATCTCATCTCTATGAATTGTGGAAATTTATTATTCTATATGAATTAGATTCACATAGAAATCAGAACGATGGAAGACCGCTAGAGTAGATGCTTTGATCATTTCAATTGGGGTTTAGTTGTGACCGTGAAGAATAGTTGGAAATGAGAATTCGGTTTTGCATTCTTGTTGAATTAATTGTTCAAGACAGTTTCATCTCGGGAGAAATGTTGCCTCTTTCCAGCATTTTAGGCTTCAAAGTTCTAAAAAACTAGCTTTACATTTAACCCATCCAAATGCCTCAGAAGTGCATACTTTCATAGATGATGGGCTCCCAATGTACCAAGTCTGAGTTGCTCTTTAGAAATGAAGGACACGGTTGTAAAACCTAATTAACAGATCCTGTTCAAGTAAGGTCGGAAGTCTGAGTTGCTCAAATCCTAGTCAAATGACCATTGCCGTATTTTCCATTAACAATGGGGATGATTGATGAAAGTGCTTTTAGCTTTTGAGTTGGTTTCTGTGTTGAAGGGTATTGGTGTGGTCATGTAACATAATAGCTCAACTAGAATGGGAAATGTCACAGTTCTGGGTACTGTTTGTTCTGTAACTTGGTGCTATTTTGTTAGAAAAAATCTTTATACGTAAATGGTGTTGTAATGAGCTGATAAGCGTCCATTTATTTTCAGGAAGTGGGTTTGAGAGGATTAACAAGCAAAAGGCACATGAAAATAGTGATGAGATGGATGAGGGAACGGCAGAAGTTAAGACTGATGTGCAATCACGTAGGACCTAATAAGCAGTTTCTTTATACCACCTGGTTCACAAAACCCAACTTCGGACAGGCAAAGCCACAGGGGCGTAATTCTTCCCAACCCAAGAGCCCTTGAGTGCCTGCAAATTACCTGTAAAACTGCGATTGTTTCTTCTTTTTAATGGAAGCTGTTCTTTGATTATTCTACAAGTGATGTCTTTATAGAATGAATGACCAATATCGAAACGATTTAAATACCGACATTTCTTTTGTGTACAATGCTAATTCCTTAATCTTATAACAATATGTGATAATAGATTGCATTAAGGGTAGTTAATCAGTTGATATTCCTTTTGCTTCTGTTTATCTCCAAATTCTATATATTAGACTGTTGTCTAAAATCTTTGCCTTATCAAAATCTAATTATCTGTCGTCCATCTCCTTGCAACTTGTTAAACATTTTTTTATTTTTTTTAATTGAAATGGTCAACAAACGTATGAGTCATTTGCCGAAGCAAATTGCAATTCTCAAATTAGTATACATTCTAGAATAGCTCTACTGTTGAACTTTCAAGAATATGGAGGGTCTTCGAGACACCATTGCCGCAGTACCTTTTGGCCTATAGAGCTTTAACAAACAAGTTAGAAATCCTACTACAGGGGTCTTCGAGATGTTAAAGAGATAACTGATGACATGTTGTCAGTTTACTTACTCTGTGTTGAGAGATGAGCTGCTTTTTCTAGGCTAGTTGTTCATGTTGTTCAATCCTTATAGTTCTGGAGTTGTAGTCATGAGAAATCGGTTCCTTGAGGCTTAACTATTTTTTGCAAGGTTCGGTAAGCGTGGTGAATGGTTGACAGTGTTTTGAAGTCCCATGTTCTTATTGAATGGCTGACATCCAGTGCTTTTCAGTTGATAGAAAGTAGGAGACCTCCTTTGGAGGTTGAAGCCCTACTTTGTGCGAGGTGGACATGATGCTCCCAAGTTCCAACATACAGGGCTTAGTTCATGTCAATCTTAATCTTGCTTGTGAAGTTTTGACTATACACGTAGAATGCCTGATATTTAAAGGCTTTGCTGATAGTCTTTTTTTTCGTGTATCTTCTTCATGCAGTGGGAAAAAAAAAAAAACAACTTTTTGACCACAACCTTCGTTAAGGTGTGTTCGAGGATGCCCTTGAACAAATAAACTTTAGTAACATAAAAGTTTTAATGTTACTTTCAAATATGATGATTATGAGTAGGAAGTGCTTTTCTATGGTGGAAAAGATGCTTGTCACACTCTCAAACATAGTATTAGTTGCTTAAGAGGTTTTCCTTTCTGCTTATTAATGAATTGCTTTATTTCCATTATGTGTTCAGGTTCTCCTTTTAGTACCAGCAAATTTCGTGGATGGCAATTGATTCATCAAGAGGCTCTAACGCTAATTTGTCTAAAAGTTTCAAATTGTTGCACATTAGTATTAATATAATCCTTATCAGTCAGCATAGTCTAGAATTGATCACAAATACTTGTTTCTAACATGAGACTTAAAAATATCACATATTAGCAGGTGAATCTCTTCAACTAATCTTCTGCTTCTTTTTCATATAGGTTACGTGACTCTGATGTTGGTGGCTCATACGCATACACTGCTTCATTTTCTTTCCTGAACTTTTCACACCCTGAAAAGAGATGGTTCATGATTTGGAGCGATTAAAGAACACCTGGTGCATGCTCTTTCAAATGGGTTGACTATAGAGTAATCCTTGGAATATAAAAATTTCTCCATTATTCACGTGCTCAATTCATTTCTTTTAAGTACTAAGCTATTTCAGGATGATGACTGTGCATATAATGGGCCAGAAGAATGAGTTTATGAAGGCTATCTAATATTTATTATGATCTTCTATCTTGTGTTTTCTAGTCATTGCTAGTCTCACCTTCTATCTTGTGCCTATTGACGTTTTCCTCTGTGGTATTGATATACAGATTTTCAATTAAAGAGAATTCTTCCAAGTTTCAGGTTCACGGACTTTTCTTTGTCTGGGATACTACACCTTTTTTGGAACTTTATTCACATCCCAGTGGTGATTCATTGACTGTATTGCTGAATCTCGTCTTGAATTACAACTATTGCTACCGATTAACTCAGGTTTGTTCAAATTCTTCTTACATTGAAAGTCTTAGTGCCATCTACAGTCAACAGCCTCAAACTGTTAGTTTGTTTGAGCTCTGTCGAGCTAAGATTGATTTCTACGAGAAATGATAACATTTTCAATCCACTTTTCTAGGTCAGAATTTGGATTGAACAACAAAGAAACACGACATAAGAAGGATAAAAGTTGGATAAGAGAAGAAAAAAAGGACAAATGGGTATTGGTTGGTTAAGTAAAAGGATCTTTTTTATGCATCTCCAAAAGCTCTACATGAGTTCTTTATATAAAACTTTACAGGTAAGAAAGAACACTTTCTACCGTTGGAATGATTTTGTATTGGGAAAATGGGGTTTCCCCACCAGAAATATCACTTTCTTTTGCAGCAGATTCCTTCGTCTCAGGTTTCCACCATTAACAGACTTCTTTTTCTTTTCCTCAATGAAAATGAAAGTTACGGCTGCTGAAGCTTTTAATGGCTGCAATAGAGATATATGTGAACCTTGAGATAAGGAATCAGTTCCATTTCCGATCTCTTAATTTTAATGGCATAAAGATGATTTAAATGACTAAAAATGGCTAAAGTGCTAAAGAACAATGAAGAATCACCTTTTCTTTTTTTTTTATTTTTTTTTTATGGTGATTAACGATAAAGCATCTCTTCTGTTTCACAGTGATTGAATGACGATGGCGACTTTGATATAATGTTGACTGAAAAGCAAAAAGAAGAAAATGGTTTGTTCCTCCTCCATTCAGAAAGAAAGAAAGGTTAGTTTACATGGTAGATTATTTGGACCTCCAAATTACACAATCTTGCAGGACTGACCCTCCGGTCATCGATCCTTGCCCTATTTCGAGCAATTGCTTGACTAAGAAATAGTTGGAGATTCCTTAATCATCCCGACACAAAGTATCATCTTCTATCATCTTCTCTATCATATCCGTAATAGTTCTCACGTTGTATAAACTCGAAGATAATCATTTAGAGATATTATTTTAATGTAAACCAATTCATTTGTATTATTCACCTCTTCAAACTCAACAGAACAAATAAAAAAAAAAAAAAAAAAAAAAAAAAAAAAAAAAAAAAAA